TCACTGAAGCAGTAGGAGTGAGCTTAAATGGACTCCAGAAGATGGTAGAGGACAGGAAGATCTGGAGGAACGTTGTCCATGGGGTCGCGATGGGTCGGACACGACTTCGCAACTAACAACAATAAATCACTGCTTATCAACAGTTCTTTCATATGGATTCCTACACTGAAAAGGAATGATTCAATTACTGTATCTCAATTCTGTGATTCTAAGTAGCTGGGAAGGGAAGGGTTAAGCGACGTACCTGTTGGCCTCGACTTACAACAGTTCATTTAGTCATCGTTCAAAGTTACAACGGCACTGAAAAAAGTGACTTATGACTGTTTTTCACACTTAACGACCATTGCAGCATCCCCATGGTCATGTGATCAAAATTCTGAGGCTTGGCAATTGACTCATACTTATGACAGTTGCAGTGTCCCACGGTCAGGTGATCCCCTTTGGCAACCTTCTTACAAGCAAAGTCAACGAGGAAGACAGATTCACTTAAGAACCGTGTTACTAACTTAACAACTGCAGTGATTCACTTAACAACCTGTAGCAAGAAAGATTGCAAAATGGGGCAAAACTCATTTAACAACTGTCTCACTTAGCAACAGAAATTTTGGGCTCAATTGTGGTCTCAGGTCGAGGACTACCTGTACCAAGCCAAGGCCTCAGATAGAATCAGGCATTTGCATGCTTCTAGTAGCGGAGAATTGTAAATTCAGGAATACAGAAGACCAACCTGGCTCCAAGCCAAGGTCCAGCTATCTGTAAATCCCAGTTTTTGTTCATATCAAAATAAAGCATTGCTTCTATCTCCGACAATAATAGCTATATACTTGAGGATATGGACAGGTTTTTCAAAAAAATTTAAAGTTGGGATCGATGGGAGAGAGGGATTATTGCCTTCTCCAAAGTGTAGGAAACTGAAAGTTAAGAATAAATTGTAGAGCTGAGGAACAAAGCCTTGAGAAAATTTTGTAAACATGCTAAATATCATAATTCATTTATACTTGCTTCTTCTTGGCACAAAGTTTCAAAACTGCCCAAGATGGCATCCAACCATCATCACAATGGTGTTGTCAGTTTTTGCAACAAACCCCCCGAGAATACTTTCAGGATAAGAATGTATCAACACTGCCATCAAATAAATGATTGCAGGAAGAAATATGACACAGAAAAATAAGCAAACGCAAGCAAAGGATGGGGAAAAAGAAATACACAGGTAAAGGAGCAGATTTAATCACAAAGTTATTTTTATATAACCATAATGAAGAAACAGCATGCATGCAGTGATAGTCATAATGGAAATACCCCCACATTCAAGAGTACTAGCTCTATTTTTATTGTAAGGTTATATTACAGTTAATCCTTGATTTAGGACTGTAATGGACCCTGCCCATCATAGTCATGTTGTGATAGTTGTAAAATGGATCACCCATGTGACTGACCCAATTTCACAACCTTTTTGGGGCAACAGTTAAGTGAACACCATGGTTGTTAAGCAAACTGCAAAAAGTTATTCCTAGGGCTACAATTACTTGACATATGTCCATAATTGACCATGGAATTATGGTCGTAAATTATTGCAATTGTAAGCTGAGGCCTCGTGTAATCAGATTTGACATTACAACTGGTTTTACACAGTCATTAAGTGAACATTGTAGTCATTCAGGGAATCAATTCCCCCAGTGAGCGTTTTTGCTGGAACCTGGAAATAAATAGCAGAAACCGGAAAATGCATAGCAAATTGTAGTCATGTGATTGCAAGACACTGCAAACAGTATAAAAATGAACTAACTGATAATCACCCAGAATGGTATCATATGACTACAGGGGGTTGTGCAGCTGTCATAATTCCAAAACCAGGCTGTAAGTAACTCTGAGGAGATCCATTGTAAACTTTGAATGGTGATTAAGTGACTGGTCCTAAGTTGAGGACTACCTGTATAAGCTAATTATACTTACATAACCATCCATCTCACAAAAGTGTACCATGCAGTAACGATAAAAATTGTCCGGTGTAGAAGGATCTAGTGATGGCTACTCAAGAAGGGGGTGAACCAATAACTCATTACGGGGGCTAGAACAACCGTCTCTCTCAAGAAAGAATTGTCCACTGCTAGGATCCAACCACATGACATCTATCCGGGCCATTTATATGAAGAGTGCGTCCTTGTGATCTCACTGCTCAGTTTAGCCAGCTGATCCCAAGTTCTACAGTATCAATGGAGAGTGAGTCATTTTCTCCATATTCATTCTTGTCATGACATTTCTTTAAAGGGCTGGGAGTAGCGGAGAGCACAGTGTATATAAAGCAGAGAGAATTGTGCTTAGGCAGCAGTGAGATCACAGGTGTTTGTGTATCAGGCGGGATGTCCTTACAGTCTTTCTATCTCCTGATTTGCCTGAACTGGGGCCACCCCATGGATCAAAGTAAACAAGGCTTGGGAACACCATGTCCAGAAGCCAACAGCCTCTGGAAGCTGGGAAAATGCCCTCATTTAAGCAGGCATTTGCTGCAATACCCCGCAACTAAGGCTGTCCCAAACTGCCAGTGAGTTGATGAGAAGGTCTACTACAAAATAAATGCTACTTTTCTGACCTTCTCCATCAAAAAAAATACACAAGCAGACTTCTACAGATGAATAGCAATATTCAAAGCCATAATGTTTAGGCAAACAAATGAAGATGTCTCTTTCAAAGAAAGAGGAATAAGGACCACAAATTGACCTAAACCAAACCCCAGATGGTTGGCAACACAATATACTAAACTATGATCTATTAACTGCAATGGTCAGGTTCACATTCATGAGTTGAAATGAGAGGGCAAGTTAGAAAGGGAAAGCAACATAATTTCCTCTACCCTAGAGGAAAAGGATAGGGCACTTCTTATCACCTGCTTTCACCTGGAAAAAATTAGAAGGAGAACCTGATTGAAAGATGTAAAATCATCTATATGGCATAGATAAAATGTTTGGGGATTTTTTTTCTAGAAGCAGGAATCATCCAATGAAGCAGACTGGACAGAGAATTTGAAGAAATGAAAGAGAACACACAACACAAGATTAATGTGAGGAATTCACTTCCACAAATGTAGTGATGGCTTTAAAAGAGGCCTCTGGTTAGCAATATACCAATAAACTGCTTAGAAAGGGCTGTAAAGCACTGTGAAGCGGTATATAATAATAAGTGCTATTGCTATTAGAAGCTATTTGCTTAAGTCTTCCCCCCCCCATATATAGGTACACTCTTGTTGGAGCAGACCAGCATATTGCCCCAACAATCTGGGTCCTCTTTTTACCAAGGATGGAAGGCTGAGTCAGCCTTGAGCGGGTGAGAATCCAATGGCCAAACTGCAGGCAGGCAGCAGAAGTAGCCTGCAGTACTGCATTCTAGCCACTGCACCACCACAGCTCATACATAATACTCATAATACTTCTAATACTTGGGAGTAAAAAAAAATGTTACCCTTTCCTGGATTAAAAGAAAGTGAAAGGTCTTGTGATACACTGGAGGGATTCAAATGAATTACAAAATCTGGACTTCCATTAAAATGCCACTGAGGAAGCAGGGTGATTCCACCACAAAAGTTCTATGGGAAATTGGTGAAACTTGGTTAAAAGAAAAGATTGCTGATGAATGTATTTCCCTCTGATCAAAAGACCTCTCCTGCACAGAGCTGTTCCTCTCAATCCTAAGGAAGAAGAAAAAGGATAAAGTCTTGCTATGGGAGGGGGAGAAAAGGTCAAAAGCCCTTTTACAAAAGGCAGAAGCAGGTCCCCATAAGTTTCCATCAATAGCAAGAGTTTATCTTTTTTCCTTCTTCCCTGGGATTGAAAAGAAAGGCTACGTGTTTCACACTCGAACCAGACTCGCTATCACTTCACACAACAGACTTAATCAACACCAAGCCAAATAGTTTAGTTTATTGTGGTATCCCAACCAACTTTATCTTCCTTAATAAACAGTACTATTTGACCAATCATATCTAGGGTTGGAAGATAAGTAGTTGGCACATGGAAAGAGAGTTCTAAGAAACACAGGATATAGGCTAGGGCTAGGCAAGAAGTAAAAAAATATATATATCCCAGAAGGTGACAATAGCAGACCTCCCCTTTTATTTTACCAATTTCATGTGGATTTTAATTTTTGAATTTGTTACAGTGTGTTTAAATGTTAATGTGAACTCTGCAGTGCAGATGATGATGATGGTTAAACCATGGCTTAATATAATGGGTAAAACTAGCAAGAGAATTAATTAAAAAGCAGCAAGGAAAATATCCCCTTCTTATATGAGCCATCACAATATCCTGTGGCATAGAGTTCCAAAGTAAATTACACTCTGAGCAAAGCAGTTAGTTGGTCAGATGCAGCTGGCAAACCAGCACAGGAGAAAATGCATTTATCTGGATTCTGGAGCAAATAGGGACTGTACCAATGCTTCCCCAACCTGGGAAGGGCCTCCTTGGCATACAGGTTACTAAAATTCTGGGGAAAGCGGTGATAATCTGGAGTGAAGTTTTCCCTGAAGTTCATTAAAAGTTGTACCCCAACAGATTTACAATCTGCATTTTTGCAAGATTGCAATTCTGCAATCACAGGATGAATTTCAGGACTCATCATTACTGACAGCTTAATGTTTCTGCTAGTTTGGAGACTGCAATTCAAGGAATCACAAAAAAAAACTGGACTTCAGCTCAGAAAGAAAAAGACAATGAAAATCAGAGTGGGTTGGCAGAAAAATCCACAAGGTTCATGTTTTTGTCTCCACTATGAGATGCCAGGTTTATCTCTGACTCTCTCAACTATGAAAACCTCAATTCTGAGATTAATCCAATCCTGCCTCCCCTACATCAAATCCTCCGTGTTGCCTTTTCTAGATTGTTCCCCTCTTGGATAAAAAGGCCCCTGCACTTTAACAGAACCTCCAGGATTCCTGAGAAAAGACACCCCGTGGCCACCTGTCAAAAGAATTGAACATGGTTGGAGGCAGGCAGTTCTCCCAGACTCACCTGTAAGCCAGGCTCATGCACTCAAACAGGCGGGTGAGAGTGGGATCAATGCTTGGAGGATCAGGGACTTCTGGCTCCGCCTGATGATGGCGCCGACGGGGCACCAAGTCCCTGTGTGGACATGACACCATGAAGTGACCACTGTGGATCACTTGGGAGCAGGCAGGATAACCAGAACCAGGTTTGGTGCTGTTGAAGACTGGGTTGTCAGAATCTGAATCAAAATCCGAGTCAGGCCTTGACCCCATCTGCAGTTCCATATAAGGCCCAGATCGTCCAGGATGAATGACAGCCATGGTGAAGGAAATGGTACTTGCTGGAGAGCTCTGTCCAGTCCAGCTGTCAAAGCTAACCCCAGGATCTTTCTTGCAGGGGCAGCCAGTTCCACATAGGTAACCTCACCTGGCACTCACTAGGGCTCTGACTCCAATAGCTGCCTTTATAGAACAACCTGATGTGGTTCTGCCTCCTAGATGGGTGGACACAAAGAGTTGCTGGGAAAAATTAACACTTTGTTTGCCAGTACAAGGTGCATTCGGATAGCCAGAGGCAATGTAAAACAGCTCCAGATAAGCTGGCTAACTTTTGATCTGGCGCTTATGCCTTTAATAGCAATCTAATCTTCTATCATTAGTGAGGCCATAATGTTGACTTCTCTGCTGTGAAAAGAAGATTCGCTTACTGATTTCTGCAGGTAAAATGGCTGTTAAAGGCCAAAGGACTCAACATGTTTTTCTCCAGTCAGTTGGCAGTTTAATCTAAGTTGGAGTGGCAATTATGCTTGTCTCATATTGTTGATTATGATAGAAACACCCCTAAACTGACTTATAGACATATGTGCATAATCCCACCACCATGCAGAGCTGCCAATGAGCTGGCAAAACAGACTTTGTTTGCATTGGCTAAGAACTGCTGGGAGCATGTGCAGGAAAAGGGAGTTGTATGCTGTGTTTACCCAGTACTAATGTATCCCCCCCCCCCAGCATTCCCAGCGAGCAAACACAGATTAAGAGACAAAATTAAGTAAAATCATAGCAACCTATGTGCAGCACAGTATGAATCAACATTAAAAGCTATGCTCCTGGACCCTAGCAAAATGGCAACAACACAAAAGCAGCAGGGTTCTTTCCAGCCTTTGCCAAGATGGGGGAAGGCCATATGGTGTGCAGGATACTCGCATGAGAAATGTGGAGCATAATCATAGACGGACACATGGTCAGGGTCATTTTGGCTATGTTCACACAACATGCTTAACGTGATGGCTGACTTAACCTATTTTCTTTGTTTGCACAACATAGTAGACCATAAATTAAATCGGCTGGACTTGCACAATATGGCAAGCAACAAAAAATTAACCCAGAGTAATACTAACCAAAGTAGCATATTGTGTGAATAAAACTGCTGAGTTTATAATCAGATAAAGCAATTTATGAATAGATGTGGGAAACACAGTGATCCATCTCAATACAGGCAGTCCTTGATTGACAATCACAATTGGGATGTGAACATCTGTCGCTAAGTAAGATGGTCATGAACTGAATCGTGCCTGATTTTATGACCTTTTTTGCCATACTCATTAGGTGAATTGCCCTGGTCATTAAGTGAATCTGTCTTTCCCCATTGTCTTTGCTTCTCAGAAACAAGCAAGGAAAATCACAAATAGTGATCATGTGACTTTGTAAAAACATGCCAGTTGCCAAGCATCCACATTTTTATCACATGACCACAGTGGCTTTGCAGTGGCCAAAAGTGCAAGCACTGGTCATAAGTCACTTTTTTCAACAGCATCATAACTTTGAACAGTTGCTAAACAAGTTATTGTAAGCCAAGGACTGGTTTTTCAAGGGCACATAAACTGAAAATTTACTAGCACTAGGCCAGGGGTAGGCAACCTTGGCTCTTTTATGACTCGTGGACTTCAACTCCACTATGCAGATGCACTACCCACATGCCTATGTTGTCTGGGAACCCTAAATAGCTGTACAGTAAGACACTGAAGTGGGGATGGGGGTCATAAAGCAAGGGTTAGGGTTCTAGGAAACAAATGGAAAATCAAAACCTAGTGTATAAATGCACAGTCTACATCTGCCTTTAAAGTTTTTTTCCTTATTGGCCTGTTCAAGTGACTGAATTTGGCATGATTGTGCCCTAAATTGAGCAACCACTTGTCAATGAGGCTGTTTTGGAAAAAAGGCATTGTCTGCAACAGTGGAAACAAATCTCAGATTTTATTTTGAACAATTGACAACTCAACCACTTGGGGCAGCAGAAGATCTGAAGTAGTCCAACTGGCACGGTCAAAGCCTGCGTAGGAGAAGGAACCACCTTCCTAAAAGACTGGATTGCAAAGTAGTTCTTAATCCCTAAAGGTTTTCCTCCTCTAATTTTTGCTCCGCAGCAAGCAGAAATTAAAGGGTTTCAGTTGTTCCCCAACATGGAAATGTCTTGACAAATGGGAGACTAACTGAAGCTCTATATAGAGTTTTCAAGGTAATAGCCAGCATTTTGAATTGGGCATGGAAGCATACTGGTAACCAATGCAGTGACTTCAGAATTGATGTTATTTTTCCTGGCAGGATACTCCTATCAATAGTCTAGCCACCACATTCTGCACCAACTGTAGCTTCTGGGTCGTCTCCAAAGGCAGCTCTACAAACAATGCATTATAGTAACCTAACCAGATGATGATCGAAGCATGAGTTAGAGTATCTTGGTCCATGTTATAATTGAAGTTGAAGGAAAGTCCCCCCCCCGGGCCACAGCGCTTACTATTTTAACAGGAGCTGAGAGTCAAGAAGGCCAATGAGTCACAATCACCTCCTTCATGGGGAGCCTGACCCCTTCCAGAGTAAGTGTCGGGACTGGTGTTATTGGATTGCTCAGCCATGTATCGACAAAGGGCAAGTCCATTTAGATAGGATTTGATACAAGTTCGTTTCATCCCATCCACATTCCCATAGCCTCCAGGTACTGGTTCAGGATTTCTGTGGGATCTCAGGTCCAGCCCAGAAGACATATCAGTAGATGTGATTAACATATTGCTGATACCTCACTCCAAATGGACAGATGACCTCCCCCAGCAGTTTCATTAAATAATATGGGGGAGACCATGAAGCTATGGGCCCCCCCCCCCACTAGAGATCCTAGGAGATCAAGCATTGTTCCTCATTACCAGCAACTGGAACCACTCACTCAGATAAGAGCAGAACCACCGCAAAATGATATCCCCAACTCCCAACCCTTGTAGATGAGCTAGAAAGATACCAGAGTCTTTCATATCAAATACTACTGAAAAGATTACGGAACCAAGAGGATGGCCCTCAAAGCATCCAATGCCATTTTAGCCACATGCCCAAACCTGAATCCTGACTGCGGAGGATCCAGATAATTCATACTCATAACTTACTGAAGTGATATCTATCAAACCAAACCTACATCTATCTCCAATAGTGGTCCAATTAGTATTTTAGGTCTCCTATTGCCAAGCTACAAACTAATAGCCCACCTTTAGGACTGCTCCTCTCCACTAACATCACTGACCTCACAGAGAATGCCCCACAACCAGTGATGCCCCTTAGTCTTCATGACAGATACACAATCTCGCCAAGCATATCCTTTTTTTCAACAGATTAGCCGAATTACCTTTTCAAGCCCTTAAAACATCTTCATCTCCTGGCCACACATTCCATACTAAACTGATGGTCAATTGAGCAACAACTACAACAAAAACATGATTTCTTTTTGCCTGTTCTGAATCTGCTGTTGTTTCTCTTAAGAAATAGGGGGGAGGGGGTACAGAGGGAAACAGATGGCAAGCAGAGGCACAAAGCAGTGAGGAGAGGAGGGAACCACCCTCCAGAGCAGCTGTGGGGGCGTGATTTCCAATGAAGCTCCTTTGTCAGGAAGGTACAATGGTCTGTCACCTTGGCGAGGGCGAACGCCAGAGAGGCCTTCCCTATCAGGGCAGACGCCAGGCTCCAGAGTTATCATTACACACTACGTTGCTATGGCACCCTGTGGAAACGCCCCCCCCATGAGGCTGTAGGGTGCGTCAGCAGGATGCAAGAGGGCTGCCGTAGTGAAGACCAGGCCTAAAAATACATCCATGCCCCTTCTGTGTCTCTCAATAGGGAGCCTGCAGGGGACCTGGGTGGCACAATGATAGATAAGAAATACAGAGGCATAGAAAATACACAAGGATCACAGACTGCAAGAAACCATAATGTTCTTGTCTGGTGTGTGACAGGAAATCAGGAGTTTGCAAGTAAGGATACATGGCAGGAGTGACAACCAGTGGTCAATGACCTCACAGACCTTGGCATTCACTGACTCTTTTTTTTCAGCCTCAACAGATTGTGCAACAAAATCTTTGCAGAACATCGACTTACTGCTGTTAAAAAAGTGAAATAGCATTCAACATGTTTGGCACATATATTTTCATCACTACACCAAAGCTTCAGGACATTCACAGGGTCTCCCTTTTCTCTGGTGACATTGCTTTGTTATTGCCCCCTGCAGCAGACCTAAGTGGCCATGGAAAAAAGTGTTCTTAAAATGCCTAAAGAGTGTCTTCATGCAATGTGTGAGTCCAGTCAGTCATGAAGTGACTCCTTGCTTGGCACAATGGCTCAACGACTGAGCCTGCTTTAGATTCTGTTAATATTATACATAATATTGTATGCATATTAAGGTTTAAATAAGCCTCACTATTAGCATAGATCTGTATCAGGGGTTCCCAACCAGGAGTGCGAGATGATATTCCAGGGGGTGCGAAAACTTGGGTTTTCAAAATTATAGTGTATATGAATAATTCATTGCCATTATTTCAAACTTTGTAAAGGGTGTGAGAATATATCAGAAGAATTCTAGGACTGTGTGGTATAGAAAAGGTTGGGAGCCACTGATATATATACTACTAAAATCCTGTAACTGTTAACTGGACGAGATACCTCAAATGAGCTAACTTGCAGAATGCAATCAAAATCTGAAACCCCATGACTCTTGTGAAATTGAAATTTGGCAAACTTTATAAATTTTTATGACATAAACATTATCAAAGAAGTTTATGACATAATGCAAAATGTCATAAAACATTTCCTATGTTGATGTTTTGTGCTATGCAGTTCAACATGGATTATTTTCAAGGCAGATACATCTCTGAATGTATCTCAACTTTTCTGCTAAATGCAGTATATTAGAAACTCTGTCACTGTTGAAGGCATTGAGGAATCTGGTAAAGAGATATCTGTGGATTGATGACCCATCAGGTCACAGGCTGTCTAGTAATTAATATAGA